GAGCCGGTGGGGGGGGCTCGGGGGGGGGGCAGCGCGAGCCCTCAGGGGTCGGCTTGGCTGGAGGGAGGTGGCCCTGACCCTGCTGCTCTCCCCGCAGAGAAACGCCCCCGAGGAGAAGGCATCCGTGGGGCCCTGGCTCTTGGCGCTATTCATCTTTGTGGTGTGTGGCTCAGGTAAGCGTTGCACGGGGGTCGCCTCATGCTGTGCCCCTTCAGCCCGCCCGGCCTTGGCCTGCCTGTGAGCGGCGGGGCCAGAACAAGCTTCCCCCCTCGGCTGCTGTCTCTCCCGTCACTGGAGAAAGCCCAGCAGGTGACTGTCCTTTCTTGGGACAGGACAGAGATCCTGATTAGTGTGTAGCTCAGATGGGTGTCCCAGGTGGTATCACTTCACTAGCAGGAGTTAGAGGAAACTAATGTGAGAGGCTCATCTTGAAAAAAATGAAAAAAGCTACACACACAATTATAGGTTTTCTGTGTGTTTGCTGATCTTAGCAAACATGGTGGCCCTCCAGAAATCATGTAGGTATGTAAATGGGAAAGATATAAAAAATAGGGATGTTCAGTTTAGATTTGAATTGATTATTCATTCAATAGATATACATGCCTCCGCCTTGCTGCAGGGAGCACAAGGCCAGTGGGGAACTCAAGCAGTCCCCTGCTGGACCTGGGCTGTACGTGGCGTTTCAAAGTGGCAGCACCTTATAGAGCTTGAGGGGTCAGCAGGAGAATCCCCCGCTGACACCAGACTCCATGTTGCGCAGCTGCTTTGAAAAGCCATGTGCAGCCCTGGGCCAGCTGGGAGTCTAGTCCCCAGCTGGCCCTGGGCTGTATGTCCTGTTTCAAAGTGGCAGAACCTGGGTTCCACGTGGTGCTGTCACTTTGAAGCACCCCCTCCTTTTTCCTCCTCCCTTGCTGCCTCCTCTTGATAGAGGCAGCATGGTGGGGGGGAAGCGACTAGTCAACTATTGTCAACTATCCGATAAGCTTATCGGACAGTCGACTAGTAATTCACATTCCTAATAAAAATATTTAAAAACAGCGTCACCAAGTTAGGTGTATATTTGATAATTATATTAACTTAAGTGAGTACATTAACTGGGAATATCTTGTTGGTGGGCCACCTGTTTTGAGCTTATCCTTAAGCTTGCTTAAAGTATGGCATTCAGCCATGCAACTTGAATTATGTAACGGTCTCCTCTATGAAGTTACAAATTACTTAAAGAAGTATGTTTATGTTCATATTTTTCATTCCTTTATCCTGTAAGTATAGTGCTAAAGCAGAGTAACCAATTTCTATGCCTACTGTTGTTCCTAGTAATATCTATGATTAACTTTTTAGAGTAACTTGTTTTACATTGTATATTAGATAACATTGTGTTTCTTTTTTGATCAGTCTCCTTTGCTGAAAAGTGCCATATAAATGTCAATGTTTAAACCATTAAGAATATACCTTTAAAGGGTTCTCTAGCAGTTTTTTCAAAATTGTTCATTTATTGCATTCCTTCATGAATGTGTGATAGCTAATACGTGGAAGAATCAACAAAGATATGTATGATTTGTTTAAGCTGAATAGAAAGATCATTTCAATTAATCTTTTCTCTTGCAGCTATCTTCCAAATTATTCAGAGTATCAGGATGGGCATGTGAAGGAGCTGACCTTAAACAAGTTGTTTTCATCTTCCTGTGAATTACAATGAACTGTCATTCCTAATGTTTGATACCCTGGTCTAAAAACTTAATTCATGATACTGTCCTGCTCCACAACGACTTTCCGAGTTGGCCATATGTCATTCCACGTTCTTTCACAAGTCATTCCAACTTTTCTATATAATACCATAGTGCCTTGAAAAGCACCACATGTATAAAGCAATAAAATTCTATTGATCTACAATCGTGGACCTACTTATTTAGTGAAGTATAAATTCATGTTTTGTGTAGATATATTACGCTGTACGCAGTGTAAATACCTAGGAACTACTACATCTGTGTAAACACCAATCTTGATCTGTTAACTCTATGTATAAATGGAAGTGGTTTTATTTAAAACTGAGAAGCAAGGATTCTTAGTGGCTGTATTATGAATTTAAAGCACAACTAAGCTGAGTGGCTGCGCTGCATTATATTGCTTATCTAAATGAACCATAGTTTGTGGCTATAGCCTAGTCTTACTATGTAGCAATGCATTAGTGCTCAAATACTTATGGTAAAAGACTTTATTCCATGCCTCTTGCATGACCATCCTCATAAAATAGTAGGTTTTACTTGATCAGACTGACCAGACATGACAAGGCAACATATGCTTCTGGACTACTTTAGGACTAACAAGGGTATAGCAACTATAAGTGCTGTTGTTAACTGTCGAACTTTTTTGACAGCACTGTATAACTTGGCTGAAAATACTTCTTGAACTACTTTCAATCAATAAAATAGTACCGGGTGATATTTCTGTGCATGTACTCGGAACCATCATACACATGCCATTTACACACCCATGCCATTTTACTCATACACCATAATGTGAGAAGTAACATGTTTTCAGATGAACCAAGCTACTGCGTCCAAACCTGCCTTTGTCTCTAGTACTTAAATATTTCCCCTACAAAGACCCCAGTTGCATTCAGATAACCCTAAAAATCAGATTGTGTGTAAGGCTGAAACTGTCTTGGTGATATTATACCTAGTTTATTGTAGAAGTCTCTCAGAAGCATAAGCTGTAATAGCTAGGTCTAACTTAAAGATGAAGCCAGTCTTCCATTATGCACTTCTTTTGGTAAAATAAAGGTCTGTTACTCTCCAGCATTTACTCAAATTTTGTTACATTGAGAATTGACTAGAAAAATAAGCAATGCTACTCATATAGGGATGTGTTGCTAGCCAGCTCGTCCCAGATCCTCATGTTTGAATCCACTTGAAATTAGTGGGCTTATGACACCTTATATTTGAGGATCTGCCCTGTTTAGCCAGACAAGTTATAGTCTGTCTTTGAGAATTGGTATAATTTGTAAATGAAAGCTTGTGTACAATTGCAGTACTATTTTAAATAAATTACTTTTAAAATGTGAATTGTCTCACTTTTAAACTTGTAGGTGCTGAACATTCCAAACTTAATATTCTGGTTTAATGTGAAAACTAGCTCATAATTTTTTCAACTGTAGTTGTCTATACTATGTGCTTTATTGATTAAATAAGCTTTTAAATTGGTGTGCAGATCACTAATGTATAGCACTAAAACGAAATAGGCAATGCCTTACTATATTTGTCAGAATGGATTTAAATATAAATTTCTTTGCATTTTGTTGAACCACAGGGTTTATGCAAGCTTGATTAAACAAGATGTTAAGTTTTGTTCAGTCCAGTGACTTTTCTTTCTGATACTTCACTGTTTAGTAACTGAGTTGGCTGCCTCCAGCCTGCTTTAACAACCACCATAAGAGAGCTTAGAGAAAACATGGAGTAGTTGCTTATTTTTAGTCAGACATGGATAATATTTTTTAACACCTGAACCTTATGGCTGCACTGAACCTCATAACTTGAATAGGAAATAATGAGTTTCTAGATAAGAGTATCACAATTGTCACGCAAGTCCCTTTACACATTATTCCCCTTGGAAAATGGTAATGTCTAGTTTCTGTAAGGCTAAGTATTCTAGTTTTTCTTTAAATTCTTTGAAACTCTTGTCAGATTCATTCCCTGCTGATACCTAGTTTTTGTTGTAAAGCTCCTATGGAGCGGCCTCCCACTCCCTATAGTCCTGCCTCTTCTTCACTGGCGCTTCTAAAGGCGGCTCCCACCTCCCCCACGAGATACAGCAGCATAGGAGTGGGGGTGGTGTGTAACTATGCACATGAAACCAAGCTTATCAGTTAACCAGGTACACGTTCGCATCTCTAGTAACAATTCGATCGTTAACCTGGAAAGGTAACTTATGTAACTTAGTTTTAACAGTGCTTTTGATTAATACTAAACAGCTTTAGATTTAATAAAGTAATAGGAATTGTACTCTAGGCATTAATTTTGCAGAGGCAAGAACTAGCCAGATGAATTCAGTTTCCATCTTATTTCAGTATAATACTCATGCTTAAAAGAGAAATAGGTCTGATCATTAGAAACTATAATAGAAACCCTAACATTACATATAAGGCCAGTTCCTCAGCTGGTGTGAAGTGGCATGGCTCTGCTGAAAGCGATGGTACTATGCAGATTTGTCCAAAAACACCCCTGGGGTTTATAGGATCTTGTGCAAAACAATGATTTTTTCAACAAAGGGTCCTGTCTAGACAGAGCTTTTTAATGGCAAAAATCTCTTCCGCAAAAAGCATTTGTGCAAGAGGGCTTTCTCCCAAGCGGGAGCAGCATAGTATTTGCGCAAGAACACTGCACAAGAACACGGACCATCTAATGTAAGATTGTCAATACGTCTAGACTGGCATGATTTTCCGCAAATGCTTTTAACGGAAAAACTTTTCCGTTAAAAGCATTTGCAGAAAAGAGCATCTAGATTGGCACAGACGCTTTTGCGCAAAAGCACTTTTTGTGGAAAAGCGTCCGTGCCAATCTAGATGCGGTTTTGCGCAAGAAGGCGAAAATGGCGATCGGGCTATTGGAGCTTTTTTGTGCAAAACAGTTTTTAGCTGTCTACACTGGCCCTCTTGCACAAAAGCATTTGTGCAAGAGGGCTTTCTCCGGAGCGGGAGCAGCATAGTATTTGCGCAAGAACACTGACAATCTTACATTAGATGGTCCGTGTTCTTGTGCAAATTCAAGCGGCCAGTGTAGACAGCTGGCAAGTTTTTCCAAAAAAAGCAGCTAAATTCAACCTAAACTTATGCATGGCTGCATCTAGACTGGCAAGTTTTTTTTGCAAAAGCAGCTGCTTTTTTGGAAAAACTTGCCAGCTGTCTACACTGGCCGCTTGAATTTGCACAAGAACACGGACCATCTAATGTAAGATTGTCAGTGTTCTTGCGCAAATACTATGCTGCTCCCGCTCCGGAGAAAGCCCTCTTGCACAAATGCTTTTGTGCAAGAGGGCCAGTGTAGACAGCTAAAAACTGTTTTGCACAAAAAAGCTCCAATAGCCCGATCGCCATTTTCGCCTTCTTGCGCAAAACCGCATCTAGATTGGCACGGACGCTTTTCCACAAAAAGTGCTTTTGCGCAAAAGCGTCTGTGCCAATCTAGATGCTCTTTTCTGCAAATGCTTTTAACGGAAAAGTTTTTCCGTTAAAAGCATTTGCGGAAAATCATGCCAGTCTAGACGTAGCCATGGTGTAGACCAGGCCTGAGATAATGCAGGTAAGTACTTCAATTTTTTTTAAACCATGTACTATACTGTTAATGAAAGTCAGTTGACCAGATTATCATGTTTATATCAACTACCGATTGCACCTCTGAAATCCTGGATTGTCTGGTCCAGCAATATCCATGGTACTTCTGGCCAGTTTCAGGGGCTGGGCGGGTGGTGGCAGCGAGCACAGCCCAGCAGTATCAGGGCTGGCATGGTGGGGAAAAACAGACTCAACTGGGGCTGGCAACAGGTGAGCACATCCCTGCCCTGGTGGCAGCAGGGATGGCACAGTGGGGAGTGCAGCCCCACCCAGCTGGAGGCAGCAGGGTCAGTGGGGGCTGGCAGCAGAGTCTCAACCAAACCGACATAGCAGGGAGCATGGTCCTGCCAAAGGCAGCAGGATCATTGCCCTGCAGTGCAGCCCCAGCCAGAGGCAGCATGCTAGGAAACATAGTCCTTGCCCTGGGCAGGAAGCATATCCCCAGCTGGACTGGGGGCAGTGGGGAGGAAGGTGGAACTCCACATGTCTGGAAAACTGTCATTCAGGACCACTCAGGTCCTGGGGCTCTGGACAAGGGAGGTCCCACTTGTAGTGTGGAGATGAAACACCAAATCCTCTTTGCCTTATAAGTGGTCTTGAAGATATCAATGGGAACTGTGGTGAGTAAGTGAAGCAGGATTTGGTCTTATTTTACATCACAAGCCAGAATTAACTTCAGCTTGGCTGCTGTATGAAATAGAATTACATTGTAGTTAATACATAGCCTGGTTTAGGGACAGAGCATAAGTAATCACTCTACCTACTGAACCAATGCCAAGGATAATTCAACATTTTCATTCAACTTTTAGTATTACTCTGCCAATATTTTACTTACTATACAGAATCTGTTGGATAAATCGGCCAGTGAGTTTTTTCTTCAATGCACAGGAAACAAACTTCCTGAAGTGACTAAATAGAATTATTTCAGTTAGACTGTTGGGGAAACCTTTGTATAACTTACACACAGGATGCAGAGTGACGTTATGATGTGACTATCATCCCGCAGGAATTTATATATTTCACTCAATCAGCTATTTGCTCACAGGGAGCAGTCTCAGTATTACACATCCTTCCTGAAAGCAGCTACACACTAGGCGCAAGGCCTCACTATACGCACACTAGTGCCTGTCTACACTGGTGCGATCTTGCGCAAAAGCTTGCGGTCTGTCTACACTGGCCACGAATTGCGCAAGTACACTGACGTTCTAATATATGAAATCAGGGTTTCTTGCACAAGAACTCTGATGCTCCTGCTCAGGAATAGGCCCTTTTGCGTGACTGTTCTTGCGCAAGAGGCCGGTGTTGCAACAGGCAACATGAATTTCTTGTTCAAGAAAGCCCTATGGTTAAAATGGCCACCAGAGCTTTCTTGTGCAAGAGAGCGTCTACACTGGCAAGGATGTTCTTGCACAAAAGCACATGGCAGTGTAGATGCTCTCTTGTGGAAGAGTTTTTGCACAAGATCTCTTCCACAGAAGAGTTCTTGTGCAACAAGCTGCCCGTGTAGACGTAGCCACATAAGAAAAATTTAAACAACAAATAGTCTGGTAGCACTTTAAAGACT